GGACTCCAGCTGTGCGTTCCCATGACAACCCTGGGGATGCTATTTAGAGCCAATGAATGGCTGCCATGGGAAGGCCAGGAGTTCTCTAGTCCAGATGGACTTAGGTGCTCAAACAATAAGTTCTCTTTTTGTGAACAGTGAGCCTGCAGCACAGAGCAGGATGGGGACTGGCTCAATGTCCCACAGAGGGCCAGGGGCAGGTCAGGGCCCAACCTCCCAACTCCCATTAGAAAAGAGGCTCTCCGTAGCTCAGGGCTTCCCAACACCTGCCCGAATCCCAGAATTCAGAGCTGTGGCTAGGGAACCACTGAGATACACTGGGCCTCACTAGGGGTGTCCTCATTGGACACGTAGCAGGCCATATCTCCTGAGGCAAGCCACAAGGCTCCTGGGAACTGGCTAGAATAGCACCAGGGGCCAAACTCTGTCAGGCAGTTTCACAGCTGCTTACCTGAACCTCAGGCCAATATTTCCAGGAAGGCAGAATCACCCCCACTCCCACAGGAAGAAACAGAAGCTCGGAGAAGCTCAGTACCCAGCATGTAACTTCAGCCAGTGAGTAAATAATTGAGTGAGCATACTCTCACAGTCTCCAAAATAACTAAGGGATGGTGCTGGGATGTGACCAGATTGGCCCCCATGTGTCTTCCCGAATTCGCTCACACAGCCAGTCCAGGACTCAAGCAGCCCTGGCATTTCCTGTTTCCCTCCCTCCTCCCCATCGAGCATGACAGGGCCAGGTTCTCATCACTTCACCTCCTCAGGCTAGCAAATCTCAATGCATCCTTCATAAATCAACTTAGATGACAGAGTTGCTGTCTCCTTGTACCCCCAGCTCTCTGCACACTAGGCTCCCACACATGGCATTCACTCATCTTCTGGTCCACACCCTATCAGACGGTGAGCAACATGGGGTTGTGAGGGTGGCTAAGAGCTTCTGTCTGCAGCCCCAGCACCAAAGGGTGCTGGTGAAAGGATGGAGACAGGCTTGGCTGCTGAGGCATAGCACCTCCTGATGGCAACTCAGGCTGGAGCTGCAGGGTCTCATGACCCTCACCCAAAGGCATACTTTTCTGCAGCTTCTTTTCCTCTTTGATCACTGTGGCTTTTGCCACTTTATAAGGACGGTGGGGCCAGGGCCTTTCTTGGCCTGGGCTGACCACATTATGCAAAAACTCTCTTGCCCCACCACTTTTTCTGCTATGAGATTTGTACTGCCATGCATAGGCAAACCCACCAACCCACTCAACCCTTGGGGGTGAGAGAGGTAAGGGAGGCGGGCTCAGGAAGGGCAGGGGAGGGAGGTACATTCTTTCCAGCCCTGTGTTTCTAGCATCATGGTGGACCACAGAGCCACATCCTGCTGGTCCTGGGTCTCTGCATGGTGGTGCCCCAGATCACTCTGAAGGGGTCCAGATCCTCTATCGAGATGGGGTGATGGCCTAAGAACAGGTCCTCACATGGTCTTCTGCTGTTGGCTCTCCAAGGATTCTGGGGTGAGCCAACCAGATCCTCTCCAGGTCCAAGGCACTCTCCCTGGTGCTGAGAGGGCCAGCTTTTGACTACTCACAGCTACATTCCTCTCCAGGAAGCCCCCTTAGGTAAAAAAAGCTGCCTTGTCCAAGGTAATGCCCCTCCCTGGGGACAGTCTGCATCTAGTGGCTAGATTAAGGTTACCAGACGTCCCGCTTTTCAACAATTTGTCCTGCAGCATTTTTAAAAAGTCCTGATTTTTGGAAAGAATACATGACAATCATGACAATCATGACAATCTAGGGAAGGGCGAGACAACAGGAAGGGGAAGGGGAAGGGAATATAGGGTTCCGGCTGCTGAAAAGGTTAATGTAACTCCATTTGGGAATGAAGAGGTTAATGTAACTTCATTTGGAAATGAAAAGGCTAATGTAAACTTCCTACTCTCCTCCTGGGCAAGGTAGCCCAGGTGGACCTGTGCCCTACTCCTTTGAGCCACAGGCACTGCCCTATACATAATTTTTTTTTAATGTATTATATTTGTAAATTGTACTTATGTTGAAATTAAAAAAAATATTACAATACTATTTTTGCGTTCTATGAAAATATTTGTTGCTCCATATAGACAAAATTTTTAATCAAGAACACACCCCTCCTTCGCCCCACCCCTGCCCCACCCCCGTCCCACCCCCACCCCACCCCGGCCCCACCCCGGGATCAATGGTGTCCCACTTTACTGATGTTAAAATCTGGTCACCTTAGGCTAGATGCTATGGAGACACAAAGGCCATGCTCCCTGGCCTTGATATGGGCCATCTGAAGGGCTATCTGGGTTTTAAGCCTTTTGGGCTGAGGCCCTGCTAAAATTTCACTATAGTTTAGCTCAGGCGTCCTCAAACTATACCTGTGGGCCACATGCCGCTGGCCTAGGACATTTATCCGGTCTGCCAGGTGTTTTTGCTGCCACTGCCTGTCCTGCTTAGCAGCCAACTCATCCTGGGGCCTGCAGTCTGGCCCTCCAACGGTCTGAGGGATAGTGAACTGGCCCCCTGTTTAAAAAGTCTGAGGACCCCTGGTTTAGCTTCTCTCTTTTCCCAGTTCTGGTCTTCTCTCCCTGAGAGTGTCCTCATCAACCTCTGGGTCTATTTCCTGAGAAGACTGACCTATGGTGAGGCCTCATTTTTCTCTTTCCTTTACTTTTATAGACACTGCGCACCCACCAGGAGCCAGGTGTGACCAATGAATAGACCAGGGAAAATGCCTAAAGTTCTTCCCGGAGCTCCCTTTCTGCAACTCAGAAACACCCAGGTACAGCAAGTGCCATATTCCTGTGTGGCAGGAGGCAGTGGCAGCCATCCCATTCCCCAAGCCTGGGATTCCTGGAGAAGTGGGCTATTTCAGGTCAGAATCACCATAGGGATATTATAGGCACTGGGGAGCAATAGCAGGTATCCTGTCCCAACTCCAGTGTGACAGCATCAAAGAAGAAACAGAAATCTTACCTTTTATTGAGCACCATGTTCCCAAGCTTCAGGTCTCTGTGCACAATGTTTTTCTGGAAAACAATAGGCATGTGGTTAGCACCATAAATGTCAGAGACAGGTTAGGCGCACCCTATAAGATGTGTGCCCTCTGGGTATTTGAGAAGGCAGGAAAAACTCTCTATGTCTCTTTATGTTGAACCATACGCAGACCAGGACAATTCTACAGCCTCATGAACCATGTACTGAATAGGGTAAGATACATACCTGGTCAGTGTCTGCCCAACTGGAATGGAACCTCACCTCTTTCTCCCTTCGGGGAAGCTAGGAGGGAATGCCACCGGCCTGTTCCCTTGAGATGGGCTAGACGTAGGGGTCAGAGGTGAACTGCCACAACTCTTGTGACTAAGTATGCATGCTTGGCCCACAGAATTGATACGCTAAGAAGAGGCTCAGATTCCTCCAAAAAGCTTAGATGTGGCCACCTAGGTGGATATTTTCAAAGTCATCACCAGAGCTGACAGACTACAGTTTGGCCAGTTGTCTGATGGGGAATTACTGCCTGGGGTCCACCGTCAGCCCCCAGCAAAAAAGAGGGCTCTGGCCTCTAGCATTGTGCCTCGCCTGGTGTGGGCACCCCCAGCTGCAAAGCACACCTGGGTGAGGCACAATAGAGCAGCAGCAGGAGGGTGGCTTTCCATGGGCCCTCGTAGAGAGCAGCAGGGGCAGGGCCTCACCTGGTGCAGGGCCTCCACCACTCGCACAACGTCATAGAAGATGACCACGGTCTCCCGTTCACTGAGCCTTTTCTCCTTGATGACATAGTGCTGCAGGTTGATGAGGTCAGCGGTCTTGTCACTGAAGTCATGTGCACAGAGGCAGTCCAAGACCAGGCAGATGCGCTTCTTCATCTTCTTGACCATTCGACTAGATTCTGTGTCCTCGACGACTTCACAGGTGCGGTCCTGGGAGGCAAAGGGGACAGAGCAGGGCTTGGCTGTGGACTTGGTAGGGCCAAGGTCAAGGGTTTGGGACTCTCTGTGTGAGTGGCAGAGGACTGAGGCCTGGACAGCCTGGACTGTGGGGCCCCTCGGCAGTGCTCAGCTTCCCATGCACCAAATGCCAGTCCAGCAAGGGGCTGAGGTTAAAACATCTCAGGTAAAGCCTTATTGCTCTGATCATAATACAGAGGATTTGGGTCTGGGCCCTCGTAGCCCAATGCACAGGCAGCAAAACCTGGGCCTGCGGCCTCCTCCCCTCCATAGCACTCTTGAATTCTAGCAATCACTAGTAGAACTTCCTTCTAGAGTTCAAGATGGTGGAAGTTAAAGAGAGGTCAATCTTAGCAGGCTTCAAAGGTCACACAGCGTTCTGTGACCCTGACAAGAGTTTTCCTCATGGGCTCAACACTTCTGGACAGGCACATAGTGGTGGTGAAGAGCAGGGCTCTGACCCTGGACCGCTGGATTCAGGCCCCAGCTCCACCTTATCTTACTTGGGTGGGTCCTGGGACAGTTTGCTTCTCCCTACACGTCTCTCATGTCATCAATCCCTCCTCACAGGTTGTGGAGAGAAGTAAATAAGATGAACATGTCCAGTGCTTAGGTCCTGCCACAGCCTCAGGAAGTAGGTACTGCTACCAACACTGGCTATAAGCTTGAGGCCCATTTTTCTTGCTGAAAGGTATGTCAAGTGAGACAAAAAACAGAACAACATAGGGACTTTCATCCTACCAACTTGAGGAGTCCCTTGATGTCATCCCAGAAGACTTATTGTTCCCTCTAGGGAGCTCCAAGAGGACTGAATATCCACATTTCTCCCTAAAAGTGGGATCACACCTCTTATTCACTGTTCTCCTGAGGTTCTAGCAGTGTCTGGCACACAGATGATAAGCTAGAAACACTTCTGATCACCCAGGTTCTCTCATCCAAAATAACATGAACCAAGGCCAAGCTTTTGAAGATATGAGAAATGAAATACTAAGAAATCACAACCACTCTCAATTTAATTTCACAAAAGGAAATGCTCTAATTTTCAGAGTTGCCTAATGAAACTCTGAGTTGCCTCTAATTGCAAATCTAAGAACAAAGGCTTCAGCGGAGTGTGTACAAGGGGGGTAGGAGGCATCTTCCATTTGCCTTATTTCAGCTGACAAGTTTGTTGCCTAAAAAGCAATGATGGAGAGTGTACCAGCAGCAGCCCATGCTCCACCCTCTCCGGCATCTTTCCAACCACATATGGGGTAGGCACCTTTATCACTGAACCCATTTTACAGATGGGGAACTGAGGCCTAGAGACCTGATGTGACTGGTCATGCCAGCTGAGTTGAGGACTGCCAACATCAAATCCGGCATGCCCTCTCTGGCATCATACTGCCTCTCAAGTAGCAGG